ATTTATGGGAATAAAGACTTCGGAATATGTTTCACGTATTTCTATGCAAATCATTACAACTATTATCTCAATGATAATGATTTCATTCAATTTGACATCAATTATGCCGGGGATGAAGGGTTTCCTATGAAGAAACCATATTTCGATGACTACTTTGTGTTGAATTTTGTGGTCACGAGTCCAATGACTACACTATTGATGGCACAGAAGGAGACGACTATTAGGTCCACAAGAATTGGATTGAATGCAAACTGAAGATAACGGCCACTCATTTGCATCTGATATCATCGCCATATATGAGTGAATGCAATGAACAGGGTATGCGGTGTTTAATTTATCTAAATATTAGGCAACCAATCTAGTACATTGTTGCCGGTAATTGGATTCCCCAAAAATTAATACAAAGTTTATAATCCTCTGAAATAAAGTGAATAAATAATTATTTATGAATTTATGATTTGTTTTTTATGTTTTCATTTTATTTTAGGATTATTAAGCAGTTATTCCGTATGTTTTGTTAAATGCATTGAATATCTGTATTACAAAACATACAAATGTTTACCCAATTCTTATGAATGCCAGTCAAACACAGTATAGAATATGTGATAATAATAATAGTAAAGAATATTCTGTTGATAAGAATTATTGTAAAGGAAAATGTGTTAAGAATTGTCACGAAATATACTATTCGTCGGAATTGGAAGACAACACATATTCCGCACAAAATGACAGCAAAATAAGGATTGAATACAAAATGAGTGAAGAATTTAACTACAAATAAGACAAAAAGTATTCATTCGTTGACTTCATGTCAAACATCGGAGGGATCGTCGGTTTGTGGTTTGGGAAGTCCTTTATAGATACCAGTGCTCTCATCAGATTAATGTTAAATATAATTATAGTTCGCATGAAAAGACTATATTTACGAACTATGAAATTACCACGTTTAAAAAACTAATTAAAATAATTATCAAGTTTGTTAGAAAGACTTTAAACTACAATTTGAGAAGAATAGTATCATTGCTTACTATACCTATCATTTGCACACTAATTATTATTTTAATCTATAATTACTTACAATATTCGACCGAAACATCCATTCAAGTGATCGGTTATAACGATATCTATAATAATAATCGCATTAGAATTGAATCAATTCCTGCCATCACTTTATGCATTGAAAACAATTTTTGAGGACATATTGAATAATCCGTATATTAAACAATATTATCTTGATAATGTATTGAAAACTGACAATTTTAAACTGTAATAAATAGTAAATGCATACACCACTAGTTGGTTTCTGGAAACCATATCTGTACGCCATTGTTCTAAACTGTTTTCAATGTAATTGTATATAATTATTAATTTACTTTATATATTTATTTAATTATTCTATCTATTAATAAATTATCAAACTTTTAAAAATAAATTAAGCGTAAACGTAAATTTATACCAAATCTTTACAAAAGCAATACTTTTGAAGTGAGGGACTGTCGACACAATGCGATCGATTTGCGTATAAATTAATGCGAGAAATGTCTCCAATTATAAGCATTTGATGTGAAGTCGTATTCAAATGAACGGTCGATTCAAAGACCCCATCACTCGGATGGACACGAATTGTCAGCAAATAGTGCTTCACTTCGGACTCAAAGGCCTTATTATCGCTCAAAACGACGAGTCTATTGACTTGACTATTGTTTGACTTTAAATATCGCAACACTTTATCATTGATTTGCTGTTCAAATGCGGACAGCGTTTCACCAAATGTTAGGTTTAGGCAAACATTGCTATACTTGTCGTGCAGTAAGTCATTGAGATCGCAACACTTTATCATTGATTTGCTGTTCAAATGCGGACAGCGTTTCACCAAATGTTAGGTTTAGGCAAACATTGCTATACTTGTCGTGCAGTAAGTCATTGAGTTTTGTGACCACAAACTCAGCCATAGGTCTAACGCTGTGTAAGTCATGTATGCGTCGACTTATATGACAGACACACCAGTGCTCTAATACGGGTATACTATCACAGCTCCTGTTGTATGGGATCTCCTCTAATAGGGATAACCCATATTTTAAAGTAGTATTTGGTTTACCTATAAAATATATCAAGATAAATTATTTTACAGTCAATACTTAGGAAATATATTATTATTCATAAATTGCAAATAATTCTAGCATGCTAAAACATTAAAAAATTATATATAAGTTTATAGTTATAATTGTAAGCATTTTCTTACCTTCGAGTATATTCTTAAGCGTTGAGTGTATGTCGAAAGGAGTGGTGAGTCGGTGCTCATTGATCGTCAGATTGCGGGGACGGTATCTCTGGGGGACATATATGTGCATAAAAGGCAGCCTTTCCTCATACCTTCCCGACAGTGTCTGTATCTGGAAACCACGTCTGTACGCCATTGGTCTATACAATCATAGATAACTCATTTTATTAATCTGTTTATTACAATACTATTCATTAGTATTCAGGCGACTTCCGGTAATAAACGTAAACTCAGTAACCCTGATAAATGTCACGATAGCCTGGAGGGCCGGCACGTCAGCCATACTGCCTACGACCTGGATGAGGATCCCTTTTGGGATGACTTAACACGGACATTATTCCACGTGGACAAGTAAAACTGCGATGTTATCCAGCACAATGCAACACCGGTGAGTCTCAAATATTGAACGGGGGCAATTTGGCATTCATTGTGATTCCGGTGCTCTACGCGCCTAACAAACTAGTGGTCAGTAGGCGTAACCACCTAGTCGAGGTGGACTTTAGATTAGGTTGGTTAAGTAGGGAATTCAAAAATAAAGTTTAAAAATAAATTCGTCCATAAATAACGTTGATATTTAGAGACGTACTTTATGATTTTTTTTGAAAAAGATTTATTTTTTGTTCCTGAGTTGTATGAGGGTAAAAGTTAAATTTTCAATATTTGCAGGCCAAATGACCCAAGACCTAAAATAAATGATCAGTTAATTATGGACATTTTAAAAAATAGTTTATAATAGAAATTATTCTGGTAATTAAAAATATAATAAAAATGGACTTTATTGATTTAATACTGTTACTTTTGATATCTGTTTTAATAGTATTATTAATATTATATTACTTAAGTATAATAGAAACAAATGAACATAAACGAAAATGTGTTCAAAATAAAAATTATACAGTATGTGAATAATGGAACTAGATATTAAACACTGTCAAATAAAGCATCCTGCTAATTCATTAATAGTAGGAATGTCAGGCAGCGGTAAAACACAGCTTTTACGAAGAATATTTAAAAATTTTAAAATATTATTTACCAATTTAAAATAGATATTAAACACTGTCAAATAAAGCATCCTGCTAATTCATTAATAGTAGGAATGTCAGGCAGCGGTAAAACACAGCTTTTACGAAGAATATTTAAAAATTTTAAAATATTATTTACCAATTTAAATAAAGATAAAATTACTGTATTATGGGGGTATGGACAAATTCATAGCCTAATTGATATAAAAATTAATGATGATATTAAAACTATATACATTGAAGGTATACCGACAGAGGATATGATAACTGAAACACAGCCTAATGTAATTGTGATAGATGATTTATTACATGAAATGAGTAAAGATAATAAATTCGAGAATATATTCATCAAAAAATCACATCATTTAAACATTAGTGTATTTTTCTTGGTACAAAATTTATTTTATCATGCAAAAGCTATGAGAACTGTAAGTCTCAATTCTCATTACATCTATTTGCTTAAGAACCCTCGTGACCAAACACAAGTTATGAGTTTAGCTCGACAAATTTATCCGAGGAATACAAAATATTTTATTCATTCATTTAATAATGCTACTGACAAAGCATATGGTTACATTCGTGTAGATCTCACCCCCGATACACCGGAAAACCTTCGAATAATGTCTCGGCTCACACCGGAAGAAAATAATGGAATATTTTCACCAGTAGTATACTTACCTAAAGACATAATAGCTAGTTGAATTATAAATTAAATATAAATGGCACTTAAAAATAATATTGATAAACTTAAATTTATAGCTTCAGTTAAAAATCCATTACTAAGGACAAAATTACTTTCTGAATTAAGTGATGATAATCTTTTTAAAGCATTGAATGAAATTGCTATAAACTATTTCAAAGGTAATATCAATTTAAATCCGAAACAAAAACGTCAAATAAAAAAGTATAATAGGCTATTAAAGCGCTTGACAAATAAAAATTCAAATAAATCTATCAAGAAAAGATTAATTAAACAAAGCGGCGGTTTTTTGCCGATATTACTTCCAACTCTTGCATCAATTGTAACGGCCCTCATAAAATAATGAATTACGATAAAATGATCTTGGTTCCATATGGTGAAGATTATGTTAAAGATAATATACTATTAATTATTCTAAAATTAGCAAAGATTAATGCATATGATCAAAATTTATACATGAAAATTAATAATAAATTCAATAAAAAAGTTAATATTATCGACTATTTAAACTTGCTCAATAATAATAATAATTCCAAACAACTGGAACACGAAAATGAATTTATCGACTTATTGATTAGAGCCAATATCGAACCAGAATTTATCAAAAATCAAAATCTAAAAGAAAAAGTAACTAATAATAGCAAGTTATTTACAAATGTATCCCCAATAAAACGAAAACTAAACTGGATTAAAGTTGATCAAATATGGATATTGATAATGTATTGACTGGTATTTACTATAATCCTAAAAATCCCAAACAGTTTCTCAACTGCCAATAAATTATATAGGGCGGCCAAAGAAAATTTACCAAAACTTACATTAAAACAAGTTCAACACTGGTTATCAGGGCAATTTACATATACATTGCATAAACCTGTAAGACATCATTTTAAACGAAATCCAATTGTCGTAGAATCGATTGATCAACAATGGGAAGCCGACCTGGTTGATATGCAGGAATATAAAAAATTTAATCAAGGTTACAATTATATCTTGACCGTAATTGATGTAATGTCCAAGTATGCTTGGGTTCAACCACTGAAAAATAAAACTGGTAAAGCTATGGTATTAGCATTTAATAATATATTAAAAAATAATAGGAAACCTTTTTATTTAAGAACCGATAAAGGTAGAGAATTTTTAAACAAAGATTTTAAATTATTATTAAATGAAAATAGTATACATCATTTTACAAGTAAAAATACAACAATTAAATGTGCAATCGTAGAGCGATTTAATCGCACATTAAAAAGTAGGATGTTTAAATGTTTTACAGCCAATGGTAATCGCGTATGGTATAATATATTAGATGATTTAGTTTATGCCTACAATAATTCAAAACATAGGTCAATAAAAATGACCCCAGAAGATGCAACTGAAACTAATCCTGAAGTATTATTTAAAAATATTTATGGCGTAAATTCAATATATGAATTAAATAAAAATAGGAAAATTCCTGATTTACAAATCAATGATAAAATTCGGAAAGCTTATGAAAAGAAACCTTTTGATAAAAGTTATTTTCCAAATTGGACAGACCAGGTATATACAGTTTCTGACAGTAGAGATGAACCTAAAAAACCAATGTATTTGGTGTCAGATCAACATGATACTTTAGATAAGCAAAGGTACTATCCTGAAGAAATTCAAAAAGTTACTGAGAATTTATATAGAATTGAAAAAATAATAAAAAGAAGAACACGTGATGGGATTAAAGAATGTTATATAAAGTGGCTAAATTACCCTCAAAGCTACAATAGTTGGATAAAAGAAACTGAAATTAAAAATTTATAATATTTTAAAATGACTAAAAATAACAGTGTTGATTATAAAATATTAACTTTAAATTGTTTTTCAATACCTTACTTTAATCGACGTAAAAATTTTATTCGAACTGTAAAACAACTAACGTTTAAATTTATAGTGACTAACGAAAATTATATACAAATTCATATAGATAAATATAATATTTTAGAAAAGATTTTTATAACATTATTACATGATGTTGATTCCCACGCTTTCATAAGTTTTAAAATTTATAATGCTATCGATGCTGAGCAATCAATATATTTTAAATCAATAAAACGTCAAAATTTTAATTTTGAAAATATTATTGATAAATTAGAAATTTGTCACGGGAAATTCAAACTTAATTCATTTTTGCAAAAGTATATAAATACTGGAATCTCAGTTGAAGTATTCATAAAAATCATTAAACCTTAAAATGGATGAGCGCCAATATTATATCGAATGTGAGCGTGAAGAAATGCTCAATGAATATAGAAGTATGCGCAATGATCCAAATATGGATAAATACATTACAAAACGTGTATTTTTCAACATGTTCGATGAAGCTAATCGACTAAAATCGTTTGACAATTGGCCTCATGACTTTATTTCAATTGAAACTCTTGCAAATGCTGGCTTTTTCTATCTCGAAGGAGATCTCGTGCAATGTGCATTTTGTCGTGGTATTATAAGTAATTGGCAACAAGGTAACGAACCTTATGCTGAACATTTAAAACATTTCCCACTGTGTCCATTTATAATGGATGAAGTTGTGCTTAATCAACCAATATCAGAAATCCATCGTGGACAAGATGTGTGCGGAAATATGATTGTACCACATGCCAACTTTTATAAAGAATTGGATAACCGCATCAATTCATATTCGACAAGTGTGTTTACTTGCGAAATTTTAACCAAAACACTGGCAGAAGCTGGTTTTTATTGACTCGGACACGCTGATTACGTAAAGTGTTTTGAGTGCAAAAAAGTACTATACAATTGAATTGAAGGGGATGAACCTTGGGAAGAACATACTAAACATATGCCTTATTGTCCACATGTTCAACGAAATAAAACACAAAATTATATCCGCAATGTTCATCTCCGGCTACAAGAAACTGAACAGGAAGATTATCAAGGGTACGATGTGTGGCCTGAGGATCCTGATTGGGATGAGCCATATCATTCATCATGGCCATATGTATTAATGGAAAATTCCATTGTACAAGAATTTCTTCGTTTAGAATTTGTTAGTGAATCAATATTAATGAAATTGCTAATGGATAAATACTATAAAGATGGTGAAAATTTTACATCATTTGCACAATTATACGATGCCTTTGAATTGTATAAACGCACTAATGACGATACCAAATTATCATCTGAAAAGCCTACAATTAATACGACAGATGAAGACAATGAAGAAACATTAACTGTGGAAACTTTGCTATGCAAAATTTGCTATTCAAAAAATATTGGCGTTGTATTTCTTGATTGTGGTCACCAGATGGCATGCACTTTATGTGCATCAAATTTATCAGATTGTCCAATATGTAGAAGTAGTATAAAAAGCTATGTAAAAACATATTTTAGTTAGTTTGATTAATTGAAACAAATAAAAATTGTTAAAATGACTAATTTTGCTTTTTATTATTATAATGTTATTGATTATAAAGAAAAATATTTTCCTTTATTTAACCGTGCTCAAAAGTTTTTAAAAATTAGAGTTTTAAAAACTTACGATTCTGGTTTTTATATTTATGATTTGGAGTTGAAACAAATTTTTAAAGAAGTAATTGAACAATTAATTTCTGAATTTAAAAAAAATGATAACTTTTCACTGTGTATATCTTATGGTTTTATTGAAACGCATTTGCCACCAATTCAGATAAAAGAATTTAATGTCGATAAAGTTATTGAACGATTAAAACTAGTCCATTTAAAAGATGACAATAATTTTTTTAATATCGAAGTCAATATTATAAAAACTTAAACTTTTAAATAAAATTGAGAGATAATTTATCTCCAAGTCCAAATTATATCTGAAAGCTTATAATAGAAAGTAAAATACTTTTAAAAATCTATTAAAATGGAAACTTCATTTTACATTACACTTCCAAACTCTAAAAGTATTGAAAGTAATAAAAATTTGGCAGAGTATAAAACTGAGTTATGCAAAGAATTTGATTTACAAGATTATTGGGAAGTTGGACTCACTGAAATTTCATATCCTAGATGTTTCGTGTCTTTACCTTTTGATGAGTATGTTGACTTTGTTTATTATGATGAAAAAAGTCCTACATTATGTGCTAGCACAGATAAAATGTTGATTAAGGCTGGCGAATATTCAATTAAAGGTTTAGTTGATTCAATTCATGGAGCATATTGGGATTTGACTGAAAAAATTGAGAATTCAAATGAAATCAAACTAATAGGAACCAAAACTGGCATTATTACTACAATGCCAGAAATTTATTATAACAATGATAATCAATTTGTGTATAAAACAGGAATTATCGACAAAATTTTCAGATTTTATCCTAGATTTTCTAAAGACCTTGGAAATAATTTACAATTTCCTACATGTAGAATAAGTATGAATGCAAATTCTAGCTTTACTTTTTACAAAAAGTTTCCTGAAAACAAAAATTCAGAAACAGTCCTACATCTATATGGATTAAGTTGTCCACGAGATTCAAATGTACCCACATTTTTGGATTCATTTGAAGTTACTACTGATATAATAAAAAATAATTATTGTGGTAAAGAATCAACAAATGTATTAAGAAAAATAAAAATACCACCTGTTAAAAACATAAATAGTATACCAGAATACTATAGTCAAGTAACTCAAATTATTGAAAATCCATATTATTTTCCGTTAAACGAAAATTCATTTGATGCAGTAAATATTAAATTTAGTAAAGATAAAAAGTTAATTCCATTCATTTCAGGTGAAGTTTATGTAATATTACATTTCCGTAAAATGAATAATATTGTCAATGTTAATACAGAACCTGATCCTAATTGTACGTTACTCGATAGTGAAGACTTAAAGACAATTATTGATAATAGTGAAAGAACTATAAAGAAAAGTCCTTGGGGAAAATCAAATTAAATAACTTATAATAGTAGCATTAAATAAAATATTAGATAAATATGGATAATTTTTATATGACGCTACCTTCAAATGTTAAAAGTAATATATTTTTAAATAAAGTATCTAATTACAAAACAAAATTACCACAACGACTAGAACTCAATGGTGATTGGGAAGTAGGATTATCTACAATAAGTTATACAAACAGTTGGAAAAATGTCCCGGATGATGAAGTATTATTTTTTAAATATTATGCAAATGGCCATATTAATTATATTTGGGATAAAATTGTTTTAAAAACAGGACTATATTCTACAGTGGATAAATTAATTAAAGCAATCAATGATGAGATATTAAAATGTGAAAACGAGGAGAATAAAATTGCACGAAAACGCTATAGATATATTCTTGAACACCCGGATGAATTCTTAGATGAAGGAACTCAGAGAATTCAGACCTTTACTAAACCTACAATTATTACAGATACTAAATCTAAAAATATGTTTGGACAAGCCAATTATAATGAACATGAAGTTAAACATCGTTTGAGAACAGTCGAAGAGCGAAAGAAACAAGAAGATGAAGAAATTGAAGCTAAAAAACGAGAAGAAAAGTATAATATACCCCAGTCAAAATTATATAATGTGTATTTACCTAGATTTGAAATTAATACGGAAACTAAAAATGTAATTTGTCGACTTAAACTACACAATGGGGTGTATGTATATCCAGTAATGTCTTATCATTTATGTAGATTGTTAGGGTTTGATAAAGATGATTTCGATAATACTTGTGATGGGCCATTATATAAACTACTAGAAGAATATTATTCATTAGATGATTATGAGGATCGGCAACTTTATAAACCTAATCAACCTGCCGATGAAAGTATAATACATAGCACATTGATGCCAGATTTAAATTCAAGTTTTCATTCATTATTCGTTTATTGCGATATAGTTAAACCATCATACGTGGGAGATACTGTAGCTTCAATGCTACGATTTGTAGAAATACCATCGAAAGCTAATTTTGGGGATCAAGTAGTTATAACATACCCTCAAATACATTATTATCCGGTATTATCAAACGAATTTGAGACTATTGAAATTGCATTAAAAGACGACACTGGACGATTAATGCCATTTATCTATGGCCGCACTATTTGTCTCTTGCATTTTAGGAAAAAGCAATAAAAATTGTATACTTTAGTCATAGTTTATAATAGTCACTTATATGTAATAAAATATTAACAATGTCAAATCCATACATTCAATATTATAATAATCAAGTTGGCAGTGGTCTCGCTGCCTTCTCTGGAGTGCGTTATCAAAGAGGACATGGGTTTTTTGGTCGAATATTAGGAGGTATTGGTAGTTTTTTTAAAGCTTTAGCTCCAAAATTATTGGGTGCCGCCTTGCCGTCTGCAGTAAATCTTGCTAGTGATGTAATGGCTGGAAAAAATCTTAAAGAATCTGCAAAGTCACGTCTTGTAGAAGCAGGTAAAAGTGCAGCAAATACCACGTTAGATCATGTTAAAACAAAACTTCAAGGTGGTTCCGGTATTATAAGGTTAAGAAAAAGAGGTAAAATTCGTAGATTCAACCCAATAGCCAAAAAACGCAACAAAATACATAATAGAAAGTCACGAAAACGTAAAAAATAATTCAAATGGCTAAAACATTGAATATTACAACATTACCAGAGTTTGATATTGGCTCGTTACCTCTTACTCAAGCCTCTATTGAGAAAAATATAGTTACAGAACATCGGCCTATAGCTCCAATAACGGAGAACAATATTGCTCCTATTGAAATATTTGTAAATTCAGGCATTGATGAGTATATTCAATTGAGAGATACATTATTAAGATTTAAAATGAAAATAAATATAACTCGTAGAAATGCTGAAGCTGTTGTCGCTGGTGATTGGGATCTTATTCAGCCAGTAAACAACTTTTTACATTCAGTTTTTAAATGTATTAATTTAGATATTGAAGGTAAATCAGTTACAATGTCATCTCAGACATATTCATATAAAGCATTTTTTGAAAATTATCTAGGATATACAGACAATGCTAAGTTAGGCTATTTATCTGCTGCGGGTTGGTATAATGATGAAAATAAAAAGGATGAAATTGATGAGAGTCAATCAAATTGGATTACTCCTGATCCGTTTATTGCTGGGGGAGGTGGTAAAAGTATAGAGGTTATGGGGAAATTAAATTTAGATTTATCATTTCAACCTAAAGCACTGTTAGGTGGGACAAGATTAAAATTTACGTTTATTCCCAATAAACCTGAATTTTATTTATTCAATAAAAATAATTCATTAAATGTAGAAGTTAAGTTTGAAGATCTAGCGTTATATATTTCAAAATCAAAAGTTAATCAACAAATTGTCGAAGCTCACAATCTAGCATTAACAAAAGGAACTGCTAAATATCCGTTGATGAGAGGAAATGTAAAATCATTTATAGTTTATCAAGGTGTGTCTAACACAACAATAGATAACTGCATAGTTGGTCAAATACCCAGACGAGTATTTGTTGCTATGGTTCATCATGAGGCTGAAAATGGTGTGATTAATAGAAACCCATTTAAGTTTGATCATTTTAATACAAATTTTATAGTAATTTCTGTTGATGGTATTCAATTCCCATCTATTGCATATACGCCAGACTTTACTAATAGATTATATAGTAGGGAATATTTAGGCGTTTTTGAAACTTTAAATCAATTAACTACAGACTCAAGCCTAACAATGAGTTATGATGAATATGATGAGGGAAATACAATTTTTGGTTTCAATTTAGCACCTGATCCTATTGATGACTGTAATAAAGTAGGCTATGTAAATCCTGCTTCTTACGGTTCATTAAGATTGCATTTAAAATTCAGTCGAGCACTTGAACAAAATATTAATGTTTTGTTATATTGTGAGTATGATAATGTTATTGAATTAGATTCAGCTAGACAACCGATTTTAGATTTTAATTAATATATAAAATTGTAATTTATCTCATAATAGATACTAATTTAAATTGTTATCCATACAATGGACACTAATATAATAAATGAATATATGAAAGATATAAAGTGTTTTAAAGGAACTTTTCCGGTAGATCTAATTAAATATAAAAAGTATACTGAACGACCGATATCATTCATTATTAATACAGATCCTTCGAATAAGCCCGGAGAGCATTGGGTTGCTTTATATATTAATAAGGATAACAAAGCTGAATACTTTGATTCTTTTGGTAGAAGTCCTATAAATTTAAATAATTTTTTAAAATTAAATTCAGTAAAAGAAATAATTTATAATAAAAATATTATTCAATGTTTATTTTCTAGCAATTGTGGCGCTTATTGTATATTATTTTTAAGAGCTAGAAATAATGGAATAAATTTTGTTGAATTTTTAAAATTTTTTAATAATGAACTTTGTATAAATGATTTTTTAGCTATGGAAAA